TTCCTTCCAGTTCTAACTCCCATAGTGCTACAATATCAAAGGTCGACAGTGTCCACAAACCTTCCCATCTAACACCTCTACCATATGGCTTCTAAGAAGTAAAATTCATACCACTGCGATTTAGTATTTGATAAGTAAATAACAGATCCTCAGTAAATAATAGGTGTTTTCTGAGGAGGTACTAACTTTTTTTTGGCTTTTATATAAGGTTTGGGGAGTTGGAAGCAGAGTGCATGGAGATCTGGAAGTCAATGGAATTTCCCTAGAAATAGCACTCCATGGTGCAGTTAACATTCATTTCTACTATAGCACCTTTTCTGGTTTGAAAATTATAAGACTGGAACTATACAGAAATGTGAGTTTAAGCAACAAATGACTTCATCTTTCTGATACTCATCTGGAGCGTCAGAAAGTTGGACTAAGAAAATTTCTACGGTCCTTTCCAGTTTTCCAAGAATATGAACATTGACTCTGCCCTTTTTTTTTATTTCTGGCTCTTGCTAATAGGATCGTGGGTATGAGTTGAAAGAGCACTGCACTAGAAAGCAGAAGACCTGGGTTCAAGCCTCAGTTGAGACATGAACCACATCCTTGAGCAAGGCATATGATCTCATTGCACCTCAGTTTCCTCATCTGTAAAATAATACTTGCACTACGTACCTCTTGGGATTGATATTAGGAGAGAACTGTGTAAACTATAAAGTGTATAAAAGTGAGAATAATTATGTCAGTTTTCATCTGTAAAATGGAGGTCATAATACCAGCCCTGCTTATTTTACAAAGTGGTTGTGAGGATTTAATAAAATAGCATGCAACAAACAAAACAAAAGTAAGGTACAGAGAGGTCAAATGGTGTAATAATAATAATGTTAACATTTATGTAGCACTTTACAGTATGCAAATAATTATACGTTTTATCTCATTTAACCCTTACAACAACCTTAGCAGGGAGTGTCATTATTATCCCAATTTTACAGATGGGGAAACGTAGGCTGAAAGATGTTAAGTAACTTGCCTTCCTGTGAGATTTTACAAAGGTCATTTAACCTGCTGGGGCCTCAGTTTCCTCATCTATACAACCATATGGTTGGACTAGATGGCCGTGAAGGTTCCTTCCCACTCTAGGGCTATCTTCTTTAGCCAATATGATTGTCATATAGCCCATTTCGTTGCTGGACAGCTCTGACTGTTAGGAAGTTTTTTTTCTTATATTGAGCTGAAATCTGCTTTAACTTCCATTGCTGATTCTATTTCTGACCTCTGACCTTAGACACTTACTACCTGTGTGACCCTGGATGACTCACTTAACCCTGTTTACCTCAGTTTCCTCATCTGGAAAACGAGCTAGAGAAGGAAATGGCAAACCACTCCAGTTTCTTTGCCAAGAAAACCCTAAATGAGGTCATAAAGAGTTGGACACAACTGAAACAACCAAACAACAACAAAAACGGGTATAACAATACCTATGATACCAATCTCACAGGATTGTTATAAGGATCAATTAAGTCATGTAATAAAAAAGCACAATATAAATATCCACTATTTAAAAAAAACTGGAACAAACTGGTTCCCTATTATGAATGTGAGTCCTTAAAATAATAAATGCCCATAATGTTCTCTCTTCCCCAATTCCAGGTAAATAATTCTAGTTCTTTCAAGCAGAACTCATCTGTGTCTGCTCTCTAACATGCTCATTCCTCTTTTAGAAATGACAAAGCTTGTTGATGTACCTTTAAAATTCAATGCTCAGACCTGGATACGATGTTCCAGATGTGTTCATTTTGCTCAAGTGTTGATACTAGAATTATTTGCAACCTATGAGCACCTGCTGAGTACTTGTGACTGGGGAAGTTAGTCCCTACCTGAAATTTTGCTATAGAAAAGGCAGATATAGCATGGTGCTGTATATATAATATGAAATTTGGAATCAACAGACCTGTCCAGAGTCATGTAGCTGGTCAGCGTCTGAGGAGGCAGAATGGAACAGCAGAAAGAACACGGAGCTGGAGTCTGAGGACCTGGATTCAAATCTAACCTCTTGGAACTTTCTACCTGTGCGACTATGGCTAAGTAACTTAACTGCCCCAGGCTTTGGTTCCTTCACCTGTAAAATGAGGGGCATGGGACAGATGGCCACAGAGGTCCCTTCTACACCTAGATCTATGATTCCATGATCCTACATCTTCCCGCCTCCATGTCCAAACCTTTGTCTACACATCACAGCAGACAGGAGGAGTGGGTTTGGATCCAAGATTGAGATTGGAGTCTTGGTTCCACCACTTAATTGCTGGGTGCTCTTAGGCAATTCACTTTTCCTTCTTTAAAACTCAGTTTCATCATCTAGTAGATAACAGATTCTGGGAATTTCAGAGCTTAGAAGGCACCTCAAAGGACATCTAGTCCAATGCCTCTCAGAGCTATAATCCTAACAACTGGTGAAATAGTCTGTTCTTGAAGATTTCCTTTGACAAGGAATTCACCACCTCCTCAGGCAGTTCAGTTCACTTTTGGGCAGTGCTAACTGTTAAGTTTTTCTTCATATTAACTTGAAATTGTCTTCTCTAGAAAAGTCCACTGAGGCCGAGTAGAACAAGTCTAATCTCTTTTCTACTGGAAAGCCCTGCAAAGACTTGAAGAAAGCTATTAAGTCCCCCTCAAAAGTCTTTTATTCTCCAGGCTAAACAGTCCTTCAACTTTTTCTCACATGGCATGACCTCAGTCTCTTTCCCATCCTTGACATCCTCTTCTGAATACATTCTAGGGTGTCAATGTTCCCCCTAAAATGTGGTACACAGAACTGAACACAACACTACAGATGGGTCATTTCCCTACTTCTAGAGTCTACTTCTATAATGCAGCCTTAAACTTTTTTGGCTCTCATATCAGACTGTGGACTTAAAAGAAGCTTGTAATCCCTAAACCCCTCAAGTTCTTTTCACGTGAACTAGCCATGCCTAGCTATGTCTTTCTCATCCTGTACCTTTTTAAAATTTAATTTATTTATTTTATAATTTATTTATAATTATAATTATAAATATAAATAAATTATATAATTTATTATTTATATTTATTTATAAATTATATTTATCATATAATTTATAATTTATTTATAATTATAAATATAAGTAAATTATATAATTTATTTATTTATGATTTATTTATTTAATTTTAAATTATTTATTTATTTTAAATTTAATTTATTTACATTTAATTAATTAAGTTTACCTTTTTTAAATCCACAGACTCAGCTCTTATTTTGCTTCTCTATCCTTCTGTACATGTTGGCCTTCTCCAGGTCTAAGAAATGTACCACTGCTTCAATTTCTCATCTTATCTTCCCTTCTCTCCCTCCATTCAGTACCTAGAGTCCAGTGCAGGGAACACTAGGGGACAATAGACCCTGACTTCTCTTACTAAATTAAAATAAGACCTGGGGGTTTTACTGGAAATTTATATTTTTAACCAATAACTTCTGATTAAGAGGAACCATGAATTTGGGCTGAGACGTGGTTACTGGAGTGAATTGAGTGCTCTTATTTATAGAAGGATTGTAGGTCACAGGATCACCAAATTTAAGAGTTGGAAGGGACCTCAGAGACCATCTAGTCCAGCCCCTATCCAAACTATAACATACCTAACCTAACATGACATAACATAACATAGCACAGCAGTCATCTAGCCTCTGTCTGAAGATCTCCAATGAGGGAGAGTCCACTACCTCTAAAGATTCTTCTTGAATATTCTAGATAAATATGGAAAGAGATTGTATATTTTTTTTAGTTTTCGTTTCCGGAGTCCTAAGACACTGTTCCTTCAGACTTCTACTTCCTGGCTTGATACCTTTTAAAAAATCATTCTACCTCAGTGGCTTCATCTGTGAAGCAGGAATATGAATTCTTGTACTATCTACTATACAGGGCTGTTTCACAGGAAAGGACACTGAAAACTACAAAGTTCTCTTCTATTAGTCATTTTGGTCCTCTTTGAGAATGAAGGACAACAAGCAACCAACCAATCATTCATGATTAACGTGAGTAAGTATAAGTAAAATAAAGGGAAGAGAACCAGTCAAATAGCAAGGGTAAGGAAAAAGAGATGGACCCTCTGAGTTCTATCCTGGTATTTTTAAGATAGTAAGAGAATCAGATGCTGTCCAGGGCATTAGCTAGATTCTTCATTGAGAATCAAGGGAAAGACATGAAAAAGAACTGTCCAGGCTGAGAAGGCTTAGATGGTTTGCCATCCATTTGCATGGAAGGAGTAACAGACCTTGATCACTGATGCATGTAAATATGTAAATCATATTAACAATAAAGTTTATATTCCTGATTATTTTCTTAGTGACTAAAAAGCACTATGCTTTTTACATATATAAGTAAAGGGATAAGCAAACAGAACTACATTTCACTTTAAAAAAAACTTAATACACAAAAGTTCAAACTTTCAGAACAAAAAGGAGAGGGAAGGAAAAAATTTGTATTTTAAAAGGATTCACTACAACATTCCTTTACCCAGCAAGTTCTCCCTGTGTCTTCACAACAAAATTTCATTTTTATAACTTTATTTTCATCACTATAATCATGATTATGATCAAGAACATAAGCAATAGGTATCGAAGTCCTTACTGGGGTCAGGCACTGTGCTAACAACTGGAGATACAAAGAGAGGCAAAAAACAATTCCTGACCTTAAGGAGCTCACATTCTAATGGGAGAGAAGACATGTAAATAATTATATACTAACAAGATATGTCCAGGGTAGACTGGAGATAATTCCTGGACAGGCATTAGCAGTAGGGAAGAAATACTGTGAAGGTAAAAATGACAAGACTTGGCAATAGATTAGATATGTCGGTTGAGTAAAGAAAGAAGTCACAGATGATGCCGACGTAGTGCATCTCAGTGTATCTGTACGTATGTATGTAGGCATAAATGGCTGAAAAAAGAAAATTCAGGCTCTTATATTAAATAATCAAGAACTGAGAGGAAAGAAAAGACTTACCTGGTGGAATACAGGCTCTTTAACTTTTAGGTAAACCTGCAAAAGTTAAAAGAATCATATATTAATATAACCCATCATACAAGGTCCAACCATCCAATCTTCATTCACAAGCCACTCCACGCTCTATCTTATAAATGCTATTTATTTCTCAATCCTGACTTAAGTCCCTTTGGGGGTAATCCAGATCAGATGAAAAATCCAGCCGAGAAGAAAGAGTATTAATCTGTGGGCCAAAAGATCTGAGTTTGAGTTTTGGCTCCATGATTTAATGTATGACCGTGGTAAAAAAGGCACTTCCCTTCTTTGGGGCCTACTTTTATCAACTCTACAATAAAGGAGAGACTATTTGTTTTCTTCTGAATCAAAGAAAGGGTGGGAGTCTGGCAACATAGGATTTAGCCTTTGTCCTGCCACTAACTTGCTGTGTGATCTTGAGCAAATAACTAGCTTTCTGGATCTAATTTCTTCTTTGTAAAATAAGAGGGTTGGACTACATGACCTTTCAGCCCTGAATTGATAATTTTGAGAAATTTGGTTCAACACAGTTTTTATATCAAGTGTAGGCTGCTTGACACTACTTTTGAAAAATGGTAAATCCGTTCATGAGGCAGCTAAGTGGCACAGAGAATATAGTGCTTGGCCTGGAGTCAGAAAGACTCATCTTCCTGAGTTCAAATTTGGTATCAGACACTTATTAGCTGTGTCACCTGGGCAAGTCACTTTGCCCTGTTTGCTCAGTTTCCTCATCTATAAGATGAGCTGGCTAAGGAAATGGCAAACTACTCCAGTGTCTTTGAAAGAAAACCCCAAATGCAGTCATGAAGAGCTGGACACAATTGAAATGACTGAATAACAACTAAAATCCATACACGATATATCTATCTTACATACCTTATCATCTTGGTCACTCTCATTTGAACAAGTTCTAGTTTGTCAATATCTCCTAAAATGTGATAACCTAACCTAAGGTTAATGAGGTATTCTAGATGGCATGTGACTAGTACTGACTAGAGTAGGACTACTGTTTACCTCATTTTGGACATTAGGATCCTATCCATGTGTTAGCTTTTTTTGGCTCATAAAGAGCCTGGGATGTGCTAAAACTGTCTAGTTCAAGTGCTTTCTGGCACCTAGTACAACACAGATGCTTACCAAATGCATTCTAGAAAAAGCAGTGGCATCTCTGGGAAGAGTTTTATCTTTTTTGTAGGATGGCAACCTATGGTTGCTATGAATTCTCTATTCCTGGAGGAAATTAGACAACGTAAACGGCACTCATGCAATGCTTTTTAATATTTTTAAACTATTCTTTTTCCCCTTAAGCCTGGAGGAAAATTATAATTTAAAGAACAAAAGGTGACAAGGTTGAGAATCACCCTACCCTTCCTCTTATAGCTTCTGGTTTCGATGGTTGCCTTTTTTTTTGCTTCCCTGAAGCAGGGAAAGCACATGCCTTCTCTTGGGCAAGCTGTCTATCCAATTCATACTTGAAACAGAATCCTCTCTACAACTTATTCAATAGGTAGTCAGTCAGTCAGTCAGTCTTCACTCAAAGATCTCCAGTACCATGAAATCGACTGCTTTCTAGGCACTTCCAGACAGCTCAAGTGGTTAGGGCATTTTTCTTCTTCTTTTTTTCAAATCTACTTTGACCTTGGCAGCTTCTACTCCCTGCTTCTAGTTCTGACCTATTGGGACAAGCAGGACACATCTAATCACTCTTCCATTCTTTCATATGACAAGACCTTCCAATACAATGTATATATCATGTCCCTTTAAAATCCTTCTACCACCTTGGCTGCTTCACTTGGAGACTGCAATTTATTAAAGTCTTTCCTAAAATTTGCCACCCAGAACAGAAAATAATACTCCAGATGCAGTCTGATGAGGGCTAAGTACAAGACTATTATGTCAAATAGGAAGAAAGGAAGGAAAAAGGGTAAGCACTTTATAAATATCTCATTTTATCCTCACAACAAATCTGGGAGACAGGTGCTATTATTTTCCCCATTTTACAGTTGAGAAAACTGAGGCAAACAGGTTAAGTGACTTGCCCAAAGTCACATAACTAGCAACTATCTGAGCCCTGATCTGAATTCAGGTTTTTCTGACTTCAGGCCCTGTGTTTGGTCCTCTGTGCCATCAAACTGACCTATCTGTCTACATGGCCTAAAACTGCATTATCTTTTTTGGTTTTCACATCATACTATTGACTTATACTGAGTGTGCAGTCTATTAAAACCCCTAAGATCACAGATGCCCATCGATTTGGGAATGACTAAAGAAATTGTGGCATACGCACATAACGAAATATTACTGAGCTGTAAGAACACGATGCATTTGGAGAAGTATGAAAGACTTATATGAATTGCTGCAAAGTAAAGTAAGAAGAGCCATGAACACAATGATTACAATAATGTGAATGGACGAACATTAATCACAAACAACTGAAACCAAATATACAAAAGTAAAAAGAACAAGCTTACCACTAAAAAAGAGATATAAGACACCTCTCTCAGCTTCTCTGCAGGGAATGTGGGGAGGGGGGAATCCATTGATGTGAAATGTTGTAACATTAGACTTTTTTCAATATGTTAAATTCTTTTCCTATTTCTTTTTCTTCTTTTAAAATTTTAATTCTTTGTTATAAAGAATGGCTCTCTGGGACGGGTGAAAAAGAGGGATACAGGGGGATATCTAAATGTTATAAAAATAAAAAAATTAAAATTAACAAAAATCTATTCTTAAAAACTTATTTAGACCTTTTTCAGACAAACCGATTTCTAGTTACTCCTCTTCCATCTTGTACTTGGGAAACTGATTTTGATGAACGCAAGTGTACATAAAATGTATCCCTATTAAAGTTCACTCTAAGTGATTCGGTCCAATATTCTAGCCAGTGAATCCAGACCCTATAATGTGTTATGCAATGTGTTAGCTATCCCTCTAGCTTTGTGTCATCTGCAATTTTGATAATGTACTATCTATGTTTTTATCCAAGTTAACTGATAGAAATGTGAAGCAGTACAAGGTTAAATACAGACCTCTGTTCAGGAAATATTTATTAAATGCCTGCTTTGTACAATGCACTGTACTACGTATTGGGTACATAAAAACAAAAAAAAAAGGAAAAATTCTTGCCCTCAATGAGCCGACATTGTTCTAGGGGAGATATGGCACATACAGGGACAAGTATAGGCAAAGTAGGGAATGAAAGGGGCAAAGGAGAAATCCAAACAAAGTGAACTAAGAATATCTGAAGAAGAAAAATTCCCTAACATCCTATAGCCTATGTCTTAGCACCTACTCTGTACCAAGGACTATACAAGGCATCGGAGGGCTTTATGAAGGAAGTAGAGAACATTTTCTCAATGCAAAATTTCTGTTATTGGAAGACAAAGACTCAAAGTCTTACAAAACAAATGCCACAGCTTCATCTTGTTCACTACTAAAGTGGTCAAACTAAGCCCATAGAATATCAAGGCCAGTATTTTTTCTGAAATGAAATACATAACTAAGTTATATTTAAATATGTTACTAAAAACATGGTAACTTACATTTATACAGCACTTTATGATTCTTAGCTTTTATAAATGATTTCATTTGATCTAACCACCCTCTGAGGTTGACAAGACAAGTGTTACTATCCTCATTTTTACAGACTGAGGTTCAGAGAAGGGAAATGACTTCCTCAGGGTCACAGAGATAGAACACAAAAGAGCAGCATATGATGGTGGACAGTGGCCTAGATTGGAGTCTGAATTTTTAAATGACAGATCTGTTATTTTAAAAAAAAAACAAACAAAACCATCCTATTTTATTGATGTCTTTCATCTTTTTATGACCTTTATCTCAATCTTTTCTTCTAAAGGAAAAAAAATTAAGGAAAATCTTGACATAATGACAACATACCTTCATAGGTGACACAAGGGAAAGACAAAGGGCCTGGAGTCAAGAAGATCTGAGTTCAAATCTAACCTCAGACACTAGCTGTGTGACATGGCCAAGTCACTTAACCTCTGTCTGACTCAGTTTACTCAACTGTAAAGTGAGAAAATAATAGGACCTATTTCCCATGGTTGTTATGAGGATCAAATGAAATAACATTTGTAAAGTACTTTGCCAACTTTAAGGTGCCATATAAAGGTTATTTATCATACCATTATCATCATTTCTATCTTTGACTTTGTTGGGGGATAAGGCCAAAAGAGGATTCCAAGGTCAGAGTATATAAGTAATTTAGTCAATTTTCTTGAATAATTCCAAGCTGAAATCCAGAATGGTCCAAAGACTTCACCACTCCACCAAAAGTGTAGCAGATACCTGTCCTCTCATAATTTCTCAAATATTCTTTGGTCCCATTTTTTGTCAACTGTGTTAATTTGTGTAGTATGATGTGAAATCTCAGACTTGTCTTAATTTTCATTTCTTACTGTAAATTAACATATTTTTGAACACATTTTCAAGTTGTCATTAATAGTTTGTTAATTGTTTTGAAAACTGCTCATATCTGATTACTTATCTATTAGATCATGACTCCTGATAGATATTTGTTTCAAATCTCTATATACTTTGTATATCAGACTTTAATCAGAGATATTTAATGCAAATATTTTTCCTACTCTACCATTTTAATTCTAATTCATTTATGCAAAATCTTTTTATTTTTATGAAATCAAAATTTTCTTTTTTTATCTTTTATGATCCCCTCTCCAGTTGTTAACAGCAGTATGATTTCTGGCAACTCTGGTGACTTTACCTTTCTGAGCCTTGGTTTTCCCCTCTGTTAAATGAGGGGGCTAAACTTCAGTTCATTCCTTCCAGCTTTAAATCCTATGATGCTGATAGGGTTTCCACTTAGTATTTGAACCTAAGTCCTTTGACTTCAAATCCAGTGCTCTATCCCCTATTACACAAATTTAAGATTCTTTTTCTTGCTACTAAAGATTTATTTTACCATCCCTCCCTTAATAAAAAAAATTATGTGCTTTTATAAGATATTTCATTTAAAGCAAGAACTGAAATCTGCACAGGAAATAACTTTTTTGACTATAATCTCTCTAAGCTAGGTCTCTATCTTTGATCAAAGGGATGGGTTCTATTAGCCCAATATGAGTCAAAACTTGGGAGATGACAATGTGCCAACCTTAAATGACAAGAAAATTACTCATCCACATCTATAGCTCTGTAGGACACAAAATAAGACTTACTGTGGTTACTATTAAGCTGAATAGCATTAATATAAAAATCAGGTGATAATTGACTGTGTTCTTGGCCTTGAAACTTTCAAACCTAAAACAGAAAACAGACATATTTCAAAAAGCAGATCATCATGACAAAAAGAATGTTATTTTTTCTCATACTACATTTTATATGATTTGTGGTGATTAAAGAATATCTCTTTAGAAAATTGCTTTATAGCTTTCAAGTAAACTGGGCTCGATAACCACTGATAAGATACACTGGACATACTGGATCGCCAGACAATCAGAGAAGCCAGGAGTAGAACTCTGGGTGAGAAAGGCAGCACTTGTTGGCTCTAGGAGAACATTGACCTCTCTCACTCTCTCTAAGCTCAAGAAATAGAAAAGAAAAAGAAAAAAGGAAGCCCAGAACTCTGGGAGAATGTCAACATGTGTGAGCATAGAACCAAGTGTTTTAGTAAGAGAGTGCAGGAGGGCCAGGGGAGACCCCTTTGTGGAAGAGCCCTTCATATAGCTCTAAAGTGTCTAATTATTGGGGTGTCTGCATGTGTTTTCTCGTGTTCTGTATGTCCCTGGAGCTGTGCTGTAAAGCTGCATGACCTCTTGGGGATGGAGAATATCAAAGGATTTGGCAGAAATGACCATGTCACAAGGTCAGTGAGAATCTTTAGCTCAAAAGCCACCCACTACAGGAGGTCTGTTCTGGCCCACACGCCCCTGCTCCTGATGCCTTTCTCTCTTAGGCCACTTCTGTCTACCTTATGTATGTCTAGTATGTCCCTCATGGTTTGCATGTTTTCTCCCTCATTAGGCTGTGGGGGCTTTGGAGGCAGTGACTGAGATCCTGTCTTTTTGTGTATCCCCAGCACTTACCACAGCATCTGGTACACCGTAAGGACTTAGTAAATACTTTTTGATTTAACTTGCTGCCTTGCTGGGTAAGCCTGTGTCAGATGTCACAGGACACTGACAAATTAGACTTAGACTTGGGATCAAGAGACCTTTACTTTCCAGCTTTGTCACAGACCATGAGGAAGAGGTTGGCACAATGGCTCTGTAGATTTTCAGTTTGGTAGTCAGTCTAATAACTCTTCTCTCCAACACTTTCCTTTGAAGCCTCCCAAACCAGGCACCTCTAGTACAAAGAGACACCGATTCTGAGGGCAATCAATTTTAAACCAACTATGTCAGCTCCTTTCTAAACTGGAACTATAGTTATGAGATAATATACATTTATATTCAACATAAGTAATACTTTTGCCAATAAAGTTCTCCTTCAGTTCCTCATCATGATGTGGAGATGACCTTGGGCTCTTAAAGGATATATGAAGGGAAGGCCAACCCAGCTGGAAAAACTTCAAGTCTGGGCATGGAGACTGACTGTTTGTCTAAATGCCTAAGGGAAGAGAGGCTCATCATTAAGAGGTTAGACACCAGGTGACGAGTTTTTGGGTCATATAAACTATGCTATAAACACTACAGAAGAAAAAGTGTTCATTTAGGGGTAGAGGTACTGAAATCTATATCAGTAGCAAGAACAAGGACACCAATGAAATTATGGAGTACACATAACGCTTATATTTTTCAAACTGTTCAAAGTTATGTAACTTTATCTGACATAAATTAACTATTATTTATTCATGAACCTCAGAGCTGAAATGAACTGCCCAGAGTGTGGCTCTTATATCCATTATCTGTGTGGCTAGAGGCAAGTCACACAGAGTTCTCTCACATATAACATCTGGATTATAATTCTTGCACTACTGACCTCAAAAGAGAAATGCTTTAGAATATCTTATTACAAATCAAACTGCTGGTTCGTCTCTCTTCTGAAATGTGAGTACTTACATGCAGTAGACAAATATACAACAGCTGTAGATCATGGGTAGTTCATCCAATAGCTGCAGAAGGAAAAAATACATAAAATTTGAAACCACAAAATTTTAATAATTGTTCATGTCCAAATGAACATAATAACAATAAAAAATACAGAAAAACCACCCCAAGTTGACCAGTTTGTGTGTGTGTGTGTGTGTGTGTGTGTGTGTGTTGTGAAATACATAACAGATGGAAAGCAACTTTGGGGGGACATGCCATATATGCCTGTTGAAGTGAACAAAGTAATCATCTCACTTTCCACTGAATGTTTGTACTTTTTTTTTTTAAAGGTGAGGCTAAGGCTTTAACAGTTCAGCAAATAAAAATTAAGCAGCTATTACATACAGAGCCCTGTGCTAGGTGTTAGATAAATCCCTGCTCTCAAGGAACTACAATTTAAATGTATTTATATGATACATAAAAAAGTGCAATACAAAATGGAATATAAGGACATGAGAGGAAAAAAGTGCTGTACAAAGTCTGAGGAAAAAAACAAATTTTTTTACTGGGAAAATCAGGGAAGACTTCAGAGCGGATATCCCATTTGAGCTGGGTCTTGAAGAATGCTTAAGATTTGAATTGATGGAGAGGGGGATAGAGGAAAAAAGCCTGAGGAAAAGTACAGAGTTAGGAGGACATGGGCATATATGGGGAGAAGAAAAGTGGACCACTTTGCCTGGAACTTCAAGCACATGGAGAGGAATAGTTTATGGTAAGACTAAAAAGGTAGGATGGTACCTGACTGTCAAAGACTTTAGAGTCATCTAGAACAGAGATGTCAAACATGCTGCTCACAATACTCCTGAGTGCAGAACCAGATTAATATGTAATTGGTTTATTCTCATCAGATTTGGGTTAAGGAGGGAATAACACACACACTCAATTGGGTATGGAAATCTATCTTACTCTACAGGAAAATAGGAGGGAAGGTAACAAGAGGGCAGGGGGATGATAGAGAGGAGGGATGATAGAGAGGAGGGCAGACTGGGGGAGGGGGTAATCAGAAGCAAACACTTCTAAGGAGGGAGAGGGTCAAAAGAGAAAATAGAGTAAGTGGAGGGTGGGATAGGATTAAGGGAAAAATACTTAGTTTTTCACACACACAAAAAAAGAAATGATAAACAGTCAGATTTCATTAAAACCTGGAAAGACTTGTATGAAATGATGCAAAACAAAATGAGTAGAACCTCGAAAACATTGTTATCAGTATCAGCAACGTTATGTGACGATCAGTTATGAACAACTCAGCTCTTTTCAGCAACACAGTGACCCAAAACAAGTACAAAGGACTCATGAAGAAAAATGCTATCCACATCCAGATAAAGAACTGGTAGACGCTGAATGCAGACTGAAGCATATTTTTTTCACTTACTTTATTCTTTTTTCATGTTTTTTTTTTCCTTTTGATTTTTCTTCTTTCGCAACTGTGACTAATATGGTAATATGTTTTACATGATAGCATACGTATAACCTATATCAAATTGCCTACCATTTTAGGAAGAGGGGAGGGAAGAGAGGGAAGGAGAAAAATTTGGAACTCAAAATCTTGCAAATGTAAATACTAAAAATTGTCTGGACATGTAATTGGGGAAAAAATAAATGTTATTTAAAAAACATGTAATTGGAAAATATTTAACAAAATAAAGAAAAATGTAATGGAACACAGGTGCTATTAATGTGTTTTTCTAAGTCAATATGCAGCTGGATACATGTCCCTTGTTTTTATTTGAGTTTGACACCATTCATCTAGAGTTTAAATTCTAGACCAGGTTCTCAATGTGCCCTCCCTAAGACTTTTGGTCGGGGAGGGGGCTCAAAACTATTTTTATAGCAAGGAGTAATAATGAGATTTGAGCCCAGGTCTTCTGACTTTAAATTTAATACTGTACTCGCTATACCATATTGCAGAGAGCCTGGGATGCCAGAGGGAAGGAATGAGACCTTAATTCAATATGCAAAAAGGAACTACTTTAGTGTTTTGAGCTATGCACATGGAAGATTAGTCATTAGACATTATGGATGGATTGGAATAGTGAGAGAATACAGGCAGGCAGACCTGTTAAAAGGCTACTGCAATACTGTCATAACACAGTTGAAAGGAACCTTAGAAATCAACTGTAGGCCAGCGAGAACAGTTAGCTGGGTGGTAATAAGAGCCTACACCAGGGTGATGGCTATAGAGCAGAAAGAGAGTGATCACAGCAGTATTAGTTTTATGGGCCTGGCAAAATGACTGGATGTAAGGAGATATGGCAATCACTGGGAAAAAAACCGTGTCCTCTACATTACAGGTGTCAAACACATGACCAGGCATTGTGGCCCTGTGATAATCCTGAGAGTGTCAGAACTAGAGTAAAACACAACTGCAAAATATTTAACAAAATAAAACCACAGAGAAAACTAATTTGTGGTTTTCTAAGTCAAAATGAGGCCAGTTTAGTGGCTGCTGGTTATATCTGAGTTTGACAATCACTGCTCTATAATACCTTGTTAACTATGTCGGTAAAGAGAAATTAAAATAATTAACCATAAAGAGCAACTTTTTAAATAATAAAGTTTAGATATCACCTAAATGGGATTTATGTAGACACAACCTCCCAAAGCTTCTTTATTTAATTATTAAAATGAAGTAGAAATGAAGATATAATCTAGGAAGTCAGTAGAATAAAAATAGCAGAACCGTTATCAAATGAAAAGCTCTACTAGAAGAAAAAATATTCACAATTTATTCTTTCCTTATAATAGTCTTCATTTGGTAGAAAAATGTTTATGAAAGCCAAATTAAAGATTTTTATAATGAATTGATTGAAAGCTACAATAAAAATTCCAATAAAATTTTTGTTCTAGGAAGGAAAAAGATAATTTTCTTAAATTTGATAGCAATATTAATATCCATATCTTATGAAGAGTATTAAATAAAAGTGCCCTGGAGTAGTACCTCTCAATAAAAACTAATAAAACTGCATTTAAAATAGCATTCTAAATACAATAAAGAGAATTTCCCTTTCTCTTTATTTTGTTCTCCAAGGATTCATATAGAGTATCCCAAATAGTTAGAAAGTGCAATAAGACTTGTGAGATACCTTGCAATTATGGTCCATAGAGTGAAACTTAAAATTAAAATGATAGGATCTTTTCCTTTTATTAAAAGAAATTCTTTTTTATTATGAACTTAATAATTAACAGCAAACACGAACACTTCAGCGTACAAATGTAATGCTGTCCTCCGGTAGAAGTGCAGAGGTTTGTCACATTAATGGCCTTAAGTTTAGGTCTTTATTTGTTTTTGTTTTTTCCTAGGCAATGGGGTTAAGTGACTTGCCCAGGGTCACACAGCTTTAAGTGTCAAGTGTCTGAGGCCAAATTTAAACTCAAGTTACTCCTGACTCCAGGGCCAGTGCTCTATCCACTGTGCCAACCTAGCTGCCCCAAGTTTAGGTTTTTAAAGGCCACCAGAATGTAGCTAATCTTTAGTCAGCTAAGAGCAAGCTGCCCTTCCAATTTCACCACAGAAATTTCTTCCCATCTTCTAAAATTACAACAATAAATAAACACCTGTTTAACATAAAAAAGTGTTTGGGGTTTTTTTTATTTGTTTGTTTTTGTTACAGCAATTCATAAACTCATCAACAAAGGTGTAGTAATGTTATTGAAAATCTCATCATGGGTTATTTTGAAATAGTTATGTGTGTTTCTCTAAAATGCTATTCCCAAGTGACAGTCTTCTGTGATTTCCTGTAAAGAGGCAGATGCTATTAGACACAAGGATACAGAAAGGCTTTTTGTAAAAGGAAAAATAATGCAAAGTCTGACCACTGAGTGATATGGCCAGCTGTCTTTGTGACTCACAGAAACCTGCCTCATTTCCTTAAGAGTTCATTCCCCTCTTTGTATGCCAACTCTCAAATATGCTTCTGTCCTTCCAGTAGAGATCCAGTGGGGTAGACTAGTATCTTGGTGGACAGGCTTGTGGGGCCCTTTTCAGGGCTGCTCACCCACCTTTGGAGTCTGCTCACTCTCACCTGCGGCTCCAAGAAGCCGCAGCATGCCCTGCAGACACAGCCTGGTAAAACCATCCTGGCAAAACCATCCTGGCAGACAGGTTAAATCAGGTTGAGAGAGATCAATGGGACTCAGACTTATTGGTGATTTGGGGGAGGGGTGTCTCCCTCAAGCATGTGAAGACTTCCCCTGGCAGAATGGGAGAATGAGAACAATCTGTTCCAACAGCCACAAAGGCAGCTAAAATAAGTGCTGTGGAGCACTGAGAGCTTGGTCAGACATCAAAGACACTGAGGTCACCCATTGCATCCCCGGCCATTGCCAGTCACCTTGACTTTTGTCTTGTCACTTGGACTTTGATGACTCTGGAAGACAGAGTAAGGCTGATGACTTTGTACAATTCTGCCTTACTTAAATCCAATTCATGAACCAGTCAAGACATCACCCTGTGATGTCATTAGTCCTCTTTGAAAACAAAAGACAAACAACAGGGATCTAGTGTCTTCCAGATAACCTCAGTGACAGGTGCAGAATCTTCCAAGTAAAACCTAGTGTGGCCTTAGTCATTAGGACCTACAGCATTAAAAAGGCCACCCTGGGTGGTAGAGAAAACAACACAGGTCTTAGAATGAATCAATCTGGGTCTGCCTGATTTTGAGCATCACGTGGACCTTTTATTTCCCACTCTGCACCACCAATATAGAAATGGAAGGAGGTCACATACAGGATTAAGGATTAGTTTATATTTTTCTTTGTTTCATGGGTTGACCAGGAAAAATGATTCATCATCTAGTGACCAACCCGCTAGTAAAGTTCCTCTTTATACTCAGCTAGCCTAGTCCTCAAAGGCTCAAACAATTTGTTTTGGGGACAACATTCAAAGTCCTTCCAGGACAGCCAAATCTGCCATAGCTTGTGTTCCACTCACATAGCCTTCAAAACTCTAGGGTCAGCTTCATGTCATAACCATGCTTTGAGATAAGACTTCTATAGGGAAATTCTACAAAAAAACTTGATGAGA